CCTGAGGTTCAGCGCGCCTTCTCTCTCCTTCCCAGATGTAGAGCCTCCCCTCAGCCAGCGATCCAGCACCTCAGGGTGATGTTTCCCGTTTTTCAGTTCCAAACTCAAACTTGTTTTGGTTGGCTGCACTCGGGTGTCTGCCCTATGCCGAAATTGGTTTTTCTCCAATTTCCTCTAATTTTAATGTGCACGAATTTCATGCTCAGGGCCACTAGTATTTGGAATAATAAAAAAAAGAGCCAGTGGGTTTGATTAATGAGTTGGCTGTCAGATATTACAAATTAAATATGACTCTGAGGTTTCTAAATTGAGCATTTGGAAAGATGAGCTGTCATCAATTGAGACTTTAAAACACATCCTAAATCTTTCTACTTCTCTCCACCTCTACCCCTGAGCAAGCCACCTTTTTCCCGTGACTACAGGAGTGGCCTCCTAACTGCTCTCCCTGCTGTTATTCTCCTTGAGTCTGTCCTTCAGTCAGTATAAGTTTTACTATTTCTGATTTAATTGACTTTAGAGGGAGAGAAATATCCATGTGAGAAAAACATGGACCAGTTGCCTCCCGTACACATACTGACTGGGGACTGAACCCACAACCTGGGCATGTGCCCCGACCAGTATTTGAGCCCCTTATGACCTTCCAGTGTACTGGACGAAGCTCCTAGACACTAAGCCACCCAGCCAAGGTCAGCAAAAGTTTTAAAATGTACACCGTTTGCTGAAATCACTCAGAAGAAAACCCAAATGCTCTGTATGGCCTGGCCAGTCGGGATTCCTGGTCTCATCTCCTAGGCTGGCCTCATTGGTCTTCCACCAGAGACTCATTTCCACCTCAGGCCTTTGCCTGTGTGCTTCCTATGCTGGGAATTCATTTCCCCCAACATTCGTGGGGTTGCTTCATTCATTTTCGGGCTTTATTCCTCTTCACACGTTACCTCCAGCCTCTGCCTTCACTCTTCTTCAGAGCACTTATCACTTGAGATGATATTCCATGTCTTACTATTGATCATCCTCAATAACTGAGTGCCATGTGGGCCAGGGTTTTGTCTTTTTCACTGGTATACCCCCAGCTACAAAAATGGGGCTGACTCAGAGAAGGCACACAAGGATTCCCTGCACGTGTGAGGCTTAAGTAAGACCATACATAAGAACTCAGCGGTGCCTAGCAGATGCCTCTCCCCCGTCCCTCCTGTCTGGCTCGGCCTTGGCCATTAGTCAGCTTTCCGCAGGCTGAGTTCTGGGCCCTCTTCTTTCCACCTGACATTCTCCTCCCAGGTGACTCCAGCCACAAATCCTTCAGACAGGTCTTTCTGTGAACCATGTCTCATTATCCTCTAATCCCCCATCTGTATCCTTTATATCATTAATCAATGTTTACTTTTGAGAAAAACAGGCCCTGGCAGCTGGAAAATAGCCTGGTGCTCACAGCTGGCCTGGGGAAACCTCACAGAGCACCAAGGGCAGACAAGGTCATTCTGCCACAGTGATGACGACCAATGCTGGTGAGCTGCTTAAGCATGCAAAAACCCTGTCACAGCGTGAGCCGTAAATACCATATTCAACAGCCCCCTCTTGGCTACAAGGAGTGACGGCCATTTTTTAATTTTACTCTTTTACCATTACAGCTTTATTCATCTTTCATTCCTCCTTCCTTCCGAGAGGAGATTAAGATGTGCAATCATAGAATCGCCCTTACTTCCCGGCAGCTCCCAATCCAGCACAAACCCCCGCTTCCTGGGAGCTTCCCCTTCCCTAACCCGCCCCAGTCCTGTCATTCCTAACCCTCTGTAATGAATAACCTCCTCGGAGTCAATAGACCCCTTGACAGGAGACGTCCCTGGTGGTCTTTGCTGGAAGGGCACTGCCAATGATTGGAAGCCGCAGGGTTTTACTCCATTTCCACAAGTGGAGATGGAGCAGGGAAGATCCTGCCCCGCTGTCACCTGCTCAAACCCAATGTTCCGCTCAACACATGGCTTTCTGGAGCAGGTACTGGCCCGAGAACTCACAGCCAGTGGCATGAGCTGTCAGCTGACAGAAATCCTGACAGCTGGTGTGCACAGCCCTGCCTGCGGCTGAGGCCTGCAGCAGGCATGAGCACTCTGGGGTTCCACTTTGGACTGACCCGACTGTGGAGCTGAGATCTTGGGGAGGTAACTCTCAGGGAACTTGTGGTGGCATGACTGCCACACATGCTATGGAGTGTCTACTCTAATTTGGTTTCTGTTACAAATGAACTTGAAGCTGATATACTGAGCCATAATAGGTGCTTAATGTTTACAGAGTGAATAGTGTTATCTGTGCTCAGGGCTTCAATCACCACCTATACGCAGATAACAGGTTTATGCCTCATCTTTTTTTTCTTTTTCTGATCAAGCCTCGACTTTATTCTTTGAAATGGCTGTATATATACAGCAGAAACAAAGGGGGGCAGGGTTGCCTATGCAGAGGGGTCTTTGTTTATGCCTCATCTTAATCTGAATACCAGACTGGATATTCAACTATCTATTTGGTATCTCCCCTTTAAAAAGGCAGTTCAAGCACAACCATTTCAAGAGTGAGTGGCATCCTGCCGCTTTCCTCAATACCTTTCTTTTAACATGGCACTTAGTCATGCAAACACAGCTACCCCGAGAAACCTCAGAACTGGTATCATGACCTTGTTCCGAGTCCTCTTCTCCACTCCACTCCGCTCCACTCCCCTCCCAGCCCATGCTGCCACTGCGACGCACCGGGTGCCTGAACAGCTATCACCTCAGCCTCCAGCACGGACAAGTCCCCACACCAAGTTGACTTTTTTAAAATATATTTTATTGATTTTTTACAGAGAGGAGGAGAGAGGGACAGTTAGAAATATTGAGAATCATCCATCAGCTGCCTCTTGCATACCCCCTACTGGGGATGTGCCTGCAACCAAGGTACATGCCCTGGACCGGAATCGAACCTGGGACCCTTCAGTCCGCAGGTTGACGCTCTATCCACTGAGCCAAACCAATTCTGGCCCAAGTTGATCTTTTTCAAATACCAGTTTAATCTGTGATGCTGACCTGCCTGAAAGTCTCTTAAAGCTTCCGTCTTTTCTTGAAACTTCACCTGGACTGCTCTCCCATCTCACCCGACTGTCCTTCCAAGCTAGCCCTAGGTGTCACCTCCCAAGCTTCCCCTTTATCACATACTCCCCCTTTCTTCACGTCTTTTCCCCTGTAAAATATTTTTTTAAAATGTATATTTTATTGATTTTTTACAGAGAGAAAGAGAGGGATAGAGTTCGAAACATCGATGAGAGAGAAATATCAACCAGCTGCCTCCTGCACACCCCCTACTGGGGATGTGCCCGCAACCAAGGTACATGCCCTTGACTGGAATGGAACCTGGGACTTTTCAACCTGCAGGCTAACGCTCTATCCACTAAGCCAAACCAGTTTCGGCAAATATTTTATTAATTTCAGAGAGGAAAGGAATGGAAGAGACAGATATACCAATGATGAGAATCACTGGCTGGCTGCCTCCTGCATGCCCCACACTGGGGACTGAACCCACAACCAGGGCATGCACCCTGACCAGGAATCGAACCATGGGTGACCTCCTGGTTCATAGGTCGATGCTCAACCACTGAGTCACACTAGCTAGGCATATCTTGCTTCACAGCACTATCAGCAAGTCTAACTCACACGTCGTTGTGACTTTTTGGACATGTCTCTCGCAGTGGGTTTCCAATTCATTGGTTTCTGCTCACTCCCTGGCTCAGAGGCACTCTGGACACAGGAAGCCACTGTCACTACCACTCTGCAAACACCCAGCCTGCAGGTAGAGCAAACGGCTGAAATTATCCGCCACCTGGCTTTGCCTTTCGCCCACAAAACCTTCCCCTTGGACTGAGGCGGCCAGCCAGTCTGAGGGCCCCTCCGGCCTGGAAGGAGCCAGGCCCACTGCAGGTGAACCAAGAGAACGCAGGCCTCAAGGACACTCTGCACCTCGGGATGCCACAGCACAGGGTTAAAGGGGCTTGTTCCCACTGCATTTATTATTAATATAAAAACGTAAAAAAAAAAAAAAATTCACTTTCAGTTCTCCAACAGCTCTCACCCTCCCTCTTGTCCACACAACTCCTGACCATGTCCTCAGGGCCAGTTCCAGACTGAGTCTGCTCATTGCCGTTTTCACAGAAAACAACCAGCAGCAGCGACGGAGGTGGGAGCGGGCGGCAAGACGTCCTGTGGAAGTTCACAGAATTCACACGGAAGGCCTGGGGCCTCCCCGGGACTAGGCTAAGAACACGGCTGTGGACGAAATGGGGTAGGCCCACCAGAGGCTTAGAGCACACCATGTCAAACCCAAAAAAGCGGCACCAGAGAATGGGGGGCCAGGGTGGCAGCCTTGCAGGAAGTCCTAGTGCTCCCTCGTTGGGGTGGGGAGGGCCCAGAGGCACCCCAGCCTCACTCATTTGGGCAGAAACACCATAGTGCGGAGAAGCCACAGAGAGCCATGGACATCGAGACAGGCTACGGTGTGTGTGCACCCCGCGCAGTGCTCTCCGGCACCGCCCTCGGCGGCGACACCACGGGATCCCAGAGCAGGAGAGCGGCCTTTCGGGAAGGGCCTGGCATCATCCAAGCTGGACCCCAGGCCAGACAGCCCAGCGCTGGGGCAGGGCTCGCACTGGGGGACTGGAAACAAGCAGCAGGAGTGGGAGGACACCGCTCCCGGCTCAGGACTGGAGGGTAGCAACGCGGGCTGGTGGACAGACACACGAGAGGCGGCACTTAGTCAGTCTCCTGCTCGGCAGTCAGTGGCGAGGGGAGAGGACCCAAGAGGCAGCCGAGGAGCAGAGATGGGGGCCTGAAGGCGAGGCTCCGGAGGCCGGATGGGCAGAAAGAATGCCCTCGTACCCCAGTGATGAAACACAACTCTGACCCCGATGGGTCGGGGAGGTGATAGATGGGTGGGAGATGCATGGCTGCGAGGTGCCGGGCTCCCCCCAGCGCGCCGGGAAGGCAGTCTCACAGAGGAGGTCCGTTGACGCCTGGGTGGTAGAAGGCACAGAGGTCCTCATATCGACAGTGGCCTTTTTTGGCAAAGTGTCGGCAGACTGGGCGGTCAGATTTGTCTGTGAACAAGTGAAAACGGCAATGTGAAACGTGAGTGAGGAAGCACACACCTGTGACGGGAAGCGGAGGGCGGTCAGACTTTTGCTCCCCGCCCTTTCCCGGCCGCTGGAAGGGCCGTCTTTCTCCTGGGAGGAAAACATGAAGAGCTACTCCCGCTTCAAAAGACACGGGGAGAGTCCTGGTCACCCTGAGAGTGATGGGGATTCAATGTATATAGGCATAAGCAAGTGACCTCACCTTCCATAACCTGGGGCTCATCCTCGAGGGAGCAGGTATTCTTGACAAGCGACCAGCTTTTGAGCCTTCTAGGATGTCTCTGTTGTTTGTGAAAGCCTTCCCTGGGGAGACTACCTTGGTCTGGCTCAGGAAAAGGAGGCTCAGCACTGATCCCCCAACCTCGACCATGCGGGCGAGACCTGGGGCCTAAGCCTCCCCACACTGGGCCTCTGCCCCGGGGAGGAGGCGGGAGACTCAGCAGCGGCGGAATCATCAGTCCCCTTGGTCCCGGGGGACCTCTGCGCAGAGCTGGACAGAGAAAGAACCACAGACAGGTGATCAATGGCCAACTCAATCCGCAGAGAGCCTGATCTTTAAAGACTGAAGTCCATTACACACACACACACACACACACACACACACTCTCTCTCTCTCTCTCTACACCAATTCCAAGCGCACGACTCAATTACCACCAAAGACCAAACACTTTTGTGTTTCCACAACCCAGGTGAAGGACAGGACCCTAACATTCCAGAAGTCACCCCTCCCCCCGTGACTTCTACCCCACTATTCCACCTCCCCCCCAAGGGACTCTCCCGACTTCTAGCCCCATAGCATAGTTTTGTCATCTTGTGTCTGGCTCCTGTGCTCAACATCACATCTGAGAGTCGTCCAGGCTGCCTGAGCAGCTGGCTGGTTTCTGCTGTGTCCCACTGCACGCACACACACCTCTTTCGTCCATTCTACTGATGGTGGACAGGGGGGTGGGCTCCAATTTGGACTAGAACTAAAATTGCTCTATGTGCCTTCTTACACGTCTTTGTTAACCTGTATGCACTTCTTTGAGTATATGCCTAGCGGAGGTATACTGGGTCCTGAAGATATGTATGCTCAAGCTTAATGCCAAACTTTCTCCAAAGTGGCTGTACCAGTTCAACCCTCACCAGCAGTTCTTGACAACACCAGGTATTATCAATCTTTTTCATTTTTGGCATTTGCTGAGGGTGACAAGTTTTTCGTGGTAAAACTTCTAACATAAAACCTGCCATTTTAGCTGTTTTTAAGTGTACATCTCAGTAGTGTTACATAAACTCACATGATTGTGAAACAGATCTCCACAACTTTTTTTCACCTTGCAAAACTGAAACTCTACAGCTACTAAACTGGCAACCACCTTTCTACTTTGTGTCTTTAAACTTAACTGCTTCAGATACCTTATGTCAGAGCAATAACATAGTATTTGTATTTTTGTGAGTGGCTTATTACATTTAGCATAATGGTCTCAAGATTCATCCCCGCTTGCCTCTTACAAGATTTTCACTTTTGGGGGCTGAGTAACATTCCACTGTGAGTACTCCATATTTATTAGTCAGCTGTCAGAAGATGTTTGGGTTGCTTCCATCTCTTGGCTGTTGTGAATGGTGCTGCTATGAACATGGGTGTGCAAATCTCTCTTCAGGATCCTGCTTTCCAGAAGTGGAATTGCTGGATCATATGGTAGCCCTATTTTTAAATTTGTTTTAAAAATATTTATTAAATTCAGAGATGAAGGGAGAGATAGAAACATCAATGATGAAAGAATCATCAATTGGCTGCCTCCTGCACCCCCCCCCCCCCCAACTGGGGGATCAAGCTGCAACCCAAGCATGTACCCTGATCAGGAATGGAATCATACCTCCTGGTTCACAGGTCAAGGCTCAACCACCAAGCCACGCCAGTGGGGCATATTTTTAGTTTTTTGAGCAATTTCCATAGTGGCTACATCATTTTACAATCCCACTAACAGCGCTCTAACATTTCAATTTCAAAGCGGCATGTTTTTATCTTGCATTTACTTGTCAACTAATGATGGTATTGTGCACATATTCTTGGCCAATTAGATTTTGGTTTTAATGAGGTGTCTATTCAGTCTTTGCCCACTTTTCTAACAGGCTGTTCCGAAGAGTTCTTTATATATTCTGGATATGAGCTCTTTACTGGCTACATTTATTGTAAGCATCTTCTGTTCTAATTTTTAAATATAGTTCTTTATTGACTTGAGAGAGGAAGGGATAAAGAGAGAGAAACATCAACGATGAGAATAACTGACCGGCTGCCTCCTGCACACCCTCTACTGGGGATCAAGCCAGCAACCTAGGCATACGCCCTTGGCCAGAATCGAACCTGGGACCCTTCACTCCGCAGGCTGATGCTCTATCCACTGAGCCAAGCCGGGGAGGGCCTGTTCTAATTTCTTAATGTTATCTTTTCATTAACAAAAGTTGATATTTGCACCAAGGCTGGTTTGGCTCAGTGGTAGAGCGTCGGTCTGCGGACTGAAAGGTCCCGGGTTCGATTCTGATCAGGGGCATGTACATTGGTTGAAGGCACATTCCTGGTGGGGGGTGTGCAGGAGGCAGCTGGTTGATGTTTCTCTCTCATCAACGTTTCTAGCTCTCTATCTCTCTCCCTTCCTCTCTGTAGAAAATCACTAAAATATATATATTTTTAAAAAGTTTATATTTGCTAATGAGGTTTACAGAGCTCTCCTTATGGTTAAAGTGTGTTTTCTGTGTAAACATGCTTATCTACTCTAAGACCATGAGATAGATTTATTTTCTAAGATTATTTACCTTTTACACTTAGATGGAGATTCCACTTGGAACTGATGCTTTGTGATATGAACAGGTCAAATTTAATCTTCCCCAAGAATATCCAATTAATCCAGCATCATTGCATAAAGGAAGTGTCCAAATATGCGTGGGACGATAGGGGACTCAATGCTGTTCTGCTGACTTACACGCCTGGCCTTGCACCAACACTACAGCACAACGAGCTGCAGAGCAAGCCTTGCTGTGCAATGCGAGACCTCCCGCTTCACGACTGGCTTTGCAATCTCTACCTCGATCCTTTGCATTTCCATACAATAATGCAGATTCTTACTTTTTTAAAAAAAAGGTATTATAACTAGGAATGCATGGAATCTATAATATTTGAGTTTTCCTACCCGTGAATACACAAAATTTCTTCACTTAGGTACCGAATCCCGATCTTTTGATTTAAAAACCTTCCTGGGTTTTAGTCCCTCCCTTGCTCCCTTCTCCAGAACCCAATCAAAGGATTGGGGCCCCTTCCTCCTCACCTGACTTGGGGTCACCAGGCTTTCCATTGGCCATGGGGGGAGGGCCCAGAAGGCTGGGCGGTCCTAAGAGTAGACACAAAAATATGGTCATTACAATGAACTAAGGGATAATCCTGTTCTTATGTTTTGGTTGTCTTACTCATTTTTTAAAAACTATATTTTATTGATTTTTTACAGAGAGGAAGGGAGAGGGATAGAGAGCTAGAAACGTCGATGGGAGAAACATCGACCAGCTGCCTCCTGCACACCCCCTACCGGGGATGTGCCCGCAACCAAGGTACATGCCCTTGACCGGAATCGAACCTGGGACCTTTCAGTCCGCAGACCGACGCTCTACCACTGAGCCAAACCGGTTTGGGCTATTACTCTTTTTTTAACCCAATCGGTAAAACCAGGTAATTGGAGCAGAGTTACGAGTTTTCACCCATCTATTTGCTCTTTCCTCTGCGAAAGTTTCCAGGATTCACAAAAAGGGGAGACTGGTTCAAGGGGACAACACGCCCAGAGCTAACCTCGCCCCACCGGCTGCCGCCCGGGCGGCTCCCCCACACCCGGGTCCAGGCAGCCCGCCCGCTCCGGGCCCCTCGCCCGCGGCGCTGGCCGCTCCCCTGGGGAGGCGGAGGCCGGAGGCGGCGAGTCCGGGCAGAGCTCTCCTCAGGCTCCGCCCGCGGCCCGCGCCGGCCCGCGCCGCCCTCCGCCCGCGGCCCCGCTCCTCACCCGCAGGCCGCCCGGCGCCGCCGGCCCCGGCCTCCTCCCGCTCGGGCACCTGGGGCGGCGGCGGCGGCGGCTGCCTCTTCCGTTTGGGCATCGTGGCGGCGGCGGGCCGGGAGCGCGTGCATCTGCTTCTGCTTCCGCTTCCGGGGCGGCGGCGGGGGCAGAGCCGCCCGTTGAGTTTCCGGGAGCTGCGGGAGGCTTTGTGCGGTGTCTCACGTCACCCTCCCCGCGCCGCCGCCCGGAAGGCCGGCCGCCGCCCCCGGGACGCGCACCGCTCCTCCGCGGCGCGGGCTCCGGCGCCGGCCGGGGGCAGTCGCACCCGAAGCTCGCCACATCCGGCCCCGGTTACTATGGTAACGCCCGAGGCACCAGCGCGTGACCTCTGACCTCCCTCCCAAGCTGGTCACCGGGTTTCCCTCCGCGCCGCGCTGAGGCCCGTTGCCGGCCGCTCCTCGCCCTCCGCCCGACCGGGCCGCGGGGCTGCCGCCGCCCCCGGCGCGCCCAGCCTCGCCGGCGCGGCTGGTGCGGAGCGCGTCCCCTCCGCGCGCAGGAGGAAGCGCCGTGCGCGGGGAGCGAGCCTCCCACGCGCGCCGCCTTCCCGCCGCCGCCGCGCCCCGGCGCGCGGCCGCCCACGTGCGGGGACCCCAGCCTCCGCGCCTCGCCCCCCGCCAGCCCGGCCGCGGGCCCGCCGACGTCACCCGGCCCCGCCCCGGTCCCGGGCCGCGGCCTGGCCGCCCGGGAGGGGCGTCGGTTGAGGCGGAGGGAGCGGGCGGAGGGCGGCCGGCCATGCCGAGGAAGAAGCCCTTCAGCGTGAAGCAGAAGAAGAAGCAGCTGCAGGACAAGCGGGAGCGGAAGCGAGGTCAGCGCGGAGGGAGGCGGGGCGGGCCGCGCGCTGGGAGGACGGCTGCCCGCCGCACCGCGCGGCGCGGAGCGGGTGGTGGGCGCGCGCCGCGCGGGGCTGCGGAGCGGGCGCCGTCGCCCCGCTCCCTCCCTGAGGAGGGCGGGGGAGGAGGGACGTGGGCGGAGGACGGGCCGGTCCTCGGAGACCCGGAGGAGGCCTCCCCCTGCTCTGGGCTGGGGAATCGGGCCGCCAAAGACCAGAGCGGGTATGGGAGCCGGGACGACCAGCGAGGGCACCGTTTGGCCCCGGCGTCACCGCTCCTCCCGCAGGGCTTCAAGATGGGCTGCGGTCCAGTTCCAACAGCCGCAGCGGCAGCCGCGAGCGGCGGGAGGAGCAGACCGACACTTCGGACGGCGAGTCTGTGACCCATCAGATCCGGAGGCTCAACCAGCAGCCTCCCCAGGGGCTGGGCCCGCGAGGCTTTGACCCAAACCGGTGAGCGCGGGCCTTGCCGCCTGCCAGGAAGTCAGAGCGCTGGGGGAGCTGGCTGCGTGGAGGCTTGAAACCAGGTGGTGGGGCTGGGGGAGTCAGGCCTTAGAGGGTGAGGACATTGCGGGAAAGAGGGACCTGGGGAAGGCCCACTCGGGGAGGAGGCTTGGGAGAGCTTAGCGAAGCCATCTGCACTGGAGCGGAGGGTTGCAATAGCTGCCGTGGTCCCTGTCATAGATACCGACTGCATTTTGAACGGGACAGCCGGGAGGAGGTGGAGAAGAGAAAGAGAGCAGCCCGGGAGCAAGTGCTCCCGCCCGTCAGCGCTGAGATGCTGGAGCTGGACATCCAGGAGGTCTACCAGCCTGGTTCCGGTGCGGGAGCTCTGCGGCCGCTGGGGCGGCCTGGGCTGGGGCGCGGGGCTGGACTGACTGAGGAAGGGGGTCTGGGACGCACCTGGAACTCCTCACACTGCTTGGATTTTTCTTGATTTTGCAGTGCTGGACTTCCCGCGGCGCCCCCCTTGGCGCTATGAGATGTCCAAGGAGCAGCTAATGAGCCAGGAGGAACGGAGCTTCCAGGAGTATCTTGGGAAGATTCATGGGGCTTACACCTCCGAGAAGCTCAGCTACTTTGAGCACAATCTGGAGGTGTGAATGGAGCGGGGACAGGAACGGGGCGTAGCGGCGAAGGGTGGATTGGTCAGGGGTCAGGCAGGAGAGGGACTCTCGGCTCAGATTCTTTCCTGTTGACTTTCCTTTCAGACGTGGAGGCAGCTGTGGCGAGTGTTAGAGATGTCTGACATAGTCCTGCTCATCACGGACGCCCGGCACCCAGTGAGTCCGGCACGAGCTAGGCAAGCGCGAGGGGGAGGAGCTCGGGGGCGGCGGGCAGCGCTGGGGCGGGTGCCCTTCCTTTGCAGTCTCCTGTCTGTGTCAGGGACTCGGTTCCTTACTCACCAGGCCACAGCCTGTCCCTCCTCCCTGGCCAGCTGACTCTCCTCTCCATCATCTTTGATGAAAACCTGTATGCCCCGTTTCTCAGCCCAGCAGCTAAGCCAATAGAAAGTTCCAGAGTGGAGACCCCAGTGCCATGAGGCAGCTGGGGGCTCCGGGCCTGCCCCTCAGTGAGCGCAGGACTCACCTGGTGGTGGCTAAGGCCCTCGCTCTGCTGGATGCCTGTGCTTGCCTGTGCTGCCACCTCACTGGCCCTGCAGTGGGAGAGGGAGGCCGGGAGGGAACTTAGGGTGGAGGTCTGTAGCAGCCTGTACACGCACTTCCCCTGTGTTTCTGTTTTGTTTTGATTTTGTGTGTGTGTTTAAATATTTTATTGATTTTTTAGAGAGGAAGGGAGAGGAATAGAGAGTTAGAAACATCGATGAGAGAGAAACACTGATCAGCTGCCTCCTGCACACCCCCTACTGGGGATGTGCCCGCAATCAAGGTACATGCCCTTGGAATCGAACCTGAGGCCCTTCAGTCCGTAGGTCGACGCTCTATCCACTGAGCCAAACCAGTCAGGGCTAGCACTTCCCCTGTTTTGTCTTCATAGTTCCGTTTGGCTGATTTACCCTTTGTCCCAGAATCCGCTACCACCAGGGTCTTGCCTCAAGCTGTGTCTGCTGGAGGCAGAGAGCTTTGGGCTGACCTCTCATTGCCCCCCCGCCCAGGTGGTGAATTTCCCGCCGGCACTGTGTGAGTATGTGACCGGAGAGCTCGGGCTGGCCCTGGTACTGGTGCTGAACAAGGTGGACCTGGCCCCGCCCGCGCTGGTGGTGGCCTGGAAGCATTATTTCCACCAGCACTTCCCCCAGCTCCACATTGTCCTCTTCACCTCCTTCCCTCGGGACCCTCGCGTCCCGCAGGATCACAGTGGCGGTGAGTGGCAGTGAGGAGGCGGCGGGGCAGGTGGTGGCAGGGGACGGAGGATAGCAGGAAGGCCTGTTGACAAGGGGACCTGAGGGTGGTGGCAGAGGTGGCATGTGCCAGCCCTTCTGTACCTCCATCTCAGTGCTGAAGAAGAGCCGGAGGCGGGGGCGAGGATGGGCGCGGGCCCTGGGGCCGGAGCAGCTGCTGAGAGCCTGTGAAGCCATCACTGCGGGGAAAGGTTTGTGCAGACTCTCGGCTCACCTTTCCTGAAGCCAGCCCTGTGTGTGGACATGGTGGGGCGGGGAGGGCCAGAGAGGCAGTGGTAGGCAGGAGCCCGCGCGCCACTGCCTCCGGGGGAGGTCAGTGCGGGCCGGGGAGGGTCGGGCTGCAGCTCGAGGGCATGTTACCCGGCTGCGCCTCGCCGTGCCATCGTGGATGGCGGCCCTGGGAGAGCCTCCTCGTCTCCTTCCTGAGCAGTGGACTTGAGCAGCTGGCGGGAGAAGATCGCCCGCGACGCGGCGGGGGCTGCCTGGGGCAGTGCCTCGGGGGAGGAGGAGGAAGAGGACGACGGGCCGGCAGTCCTGGTGGAGCAGCAGACTGACTCGGCGATGGAGCCGGCCGGCCCCCCCCAGGAGCGCTACAAGGACGGGGTGGTGACCATCGGCTGCGTGGGTGAGGGCGTGGCGGCCTGTGGAGGGCGGGCGGGACCCTGAGCACGGGTCTCCAGCGAGTATTCCCTCACCCCGCGTCCGAGGTGCTTTGGCTTTTCAGACAGTGTCAGTGGTAGCCAAGGCAGAACAGATGTGAGGAGTGTGGGAGGAGTCCAGAGAGAGCCGGGCAGGTGCTGGTGATAAGAGAATTGTTAAAATGTGGCATGTGTCCGGTCTTACTGCCACCGGGCACTGTTCTGAGTGACTTACGTGTGACCTGGTTCAGTTGTGGTTAACTAGTCTCTAGTAGGAGCTTAGCAAATGTCGGTTCCTTCCTGCGTCTTCAGCCACGAGTCTGTGTCCAGGGAGACTCCCTGGAGAGCAGAGATGTGTCTGCTCATGTGCGGACAGCGGAGTGTCTGGGCGGGCCCAGGCCTTTAATTCTGCTGGGAGAGGGGGAAGTGACTTTGGCAGAGTTGTATTATTAGGACCAAAAGGGCTTGGCCTACAAGTCAGGTTGCCCAGTGGTTGGGTCCATGCAGCGCCCCCACCTTCCTGTTGACGTGCGCGCAGACCAGCAGGCCCAGAGCACCGCGAGGTGGCGTCCTGGGCTCCAGGTGCTGTCCTGAGCCACCGGTAGTGCCGAGAGTACCGAATACTGAGACGGGAAGGTGGGAGAGGAGCAGGCTGGAGGGGCTGCAGAGGGGGGATTCAGACATTGATTTTGAGATTAAAAATGTGTCCCTAGCGGAGACGTTGTGGGGGCGTGAGCCTGGAGTGTGGGGAAGAGGACGAGGTTAGCATTTGGGGGAGATTTAATTTGGGAGCCATAGTGGGTACGCCCGTGCTTCGAGCTGTGGGAGCAGACAGGTGTGGAGGGGGCTGTCCGATGAGCCGTGTGCTGGAGAGGAAAGGAGGGCTCGCTGGGCCACGTGTGCTGAGTGAGTGAGAGGAGAACGGAGGCCTGCTCAGTGGCCTGGCGCGTGAGTGGTGCGGAGGGGAGGGGCGAGCCTGCTGGGCGGCCAGCGTGAGCCAGGGCCCAGGCAGTCTCTGTTCAGGCGTCTATTTGTGCCACATTGAAAAGCTGAAACTGAATTGCATGGTTCAGGGGCACACAGGGTGTGGCACTGACAGGAAGGCGGGCAGGGAGTCTCTTACATGCAAGTCCAGCTCACGCAGGGCACAGGTTGCGGACAGGAGGGGCTGGGCTCCAGGGAGCGCCATACACTGGCCCAAAGGGTGGTGG